GTGTGAGCTCATGCGTTTTTTTACGACTAACGAAACAGACAATGACTAAGAGCTAGAGTATTCTATTACAGAAAATTTGAAGAATTAAACATAAATACACTGCAAAAATGATTAGAAACATTAGTTAAAGAGCCCATATTATGCTGTTTTCTCATCTATAAATGCACAATGTTTATTTCAACCAAAACTTGACAAAACTGTTTAAATGAAGAGTCGGAATTCAAGTAATTTTAACTGCATTCTTTCTGTTTCTCCAAGTGTTACATGGATTAAACCAGGACTAAACCAGGACTAAATCAAGACTATTTACAGGACTAAACCAGAACTAAACCAGGACTAAATCATGACTATTTACAGGACTAAACCAGGACTAAATCAGGACTATTTCCAAGACTAAACCAGGACTAAACTAGGACTAAACCAGGACTAAACCAAGACTAAATCATGACTATTTCCAAGACTAAACCAGGACTATTTCCAGGACTAAGCGAGAACTAAACTAGGACTAAACCAGGACTAAACCAAGACAAAATCATGACTATTTCCAAGACTAAACCAGGACTATTTCCAGGACTAACCCAGAACTATTTCCAGGACTATTTCCAGGACTAAACCAGGACTAAACTAGGACTAAACCAGGACTATTTCCAGGACTAAACCAGAACATTTTAAAAGTCTTATATCACGCAAAATTGACTCATGTGAGTTTTAAGCCATGTTGTTAATGCATCAGAAACATTCCTGGACTTGAGTTTCATTCACACGTTTGAGTAACACTGCATGATTAGTCTGTGTACGTCAGAATGCTCTGTCCCACCTTGTGATGTCATTTAATGGTAGTTTTCATGTTAACAGCTACATTTTAACTTCTGTTCAGTAGACATAGGGAGTTCCAGACCTGAAATACTCCAAATAATTCTATGGAATGAGTTTAGACGGTGGAGCACCTCTGATATTACCACATGACATCACAAGGTGGAACACGCAACGAGTGTCTTGAGAAAAGAGCCTAAATCTGCAGGGTTTTATGTGCGTTAAACATGTGTGAATGAAACAAAACACAACTCCGGGTCTGTTTGTGATGAGGAAACAATAGAGGCGTAACAAGAACCGAAATATCGTGATATTGTATCGTCAAAAGTCTCACAATAATACCGTGGACCATCACAATATTTCAAATTACAAGTCTCTTTGCTTAAATTAATAGTGATGGTGATTTTAATGTCTTTCTTTGTGAGTTTAATGTGATTCCACTGAGTCATGTCGCATCAGCGCACAAGAGCTGTTTTTTTTCGTTTGCTTAGTTTATGCAAATTACCCATGTGATTTTAAGTTTTGTTTCTGTGAGAGTTGTGCAAAGCTGCATTAAACACATTATAATGTCAAACGGGCTGATGTGGCTCTAGAGTGGTTACGGTTTATATGTCGTAAAGTTTAATTTATTTATGCAGATTAGTAGTGCAGATAGTAATAATAATGATGATCATTTTAATACAAAAACGTTAATGATTAATCGATAATCAATCGTTAATTCTCCCGACGATCGATTAAGAAAATGTAATTAAATACCCATCCCTAGTACATACACATTGTAAAAAACAGAAAAGCACATTTCTCGAAAAAGGAGTGGGAAGAAGAAAAACATATATTAACCCATCCCTGCTTCTGTACATTGATCACGGAACTTAACATATATTTACACATAGCAAAAGTAATTACAAGGGGGTTTCAGATTTTTGCATTTTTAAGCCCCAAAAACGCTGTCACCGTCTAAACGAAAGGCACTTCCGATAAAATATTTTGTCGTTTTTACCCACAAGCGTTCTCGTGTTATGGTGCAGCAATATCTAAAAAACAAAGAGAACTACATAGACCATGATCCTTTGGTGTTTTTAGTGCAGACTGCATGAAGAAATAATGTTATGAAGCACTTAAAAATGTTATTTCTTCATATTATAACAGCACCAAAGGTTTTTCAAGGTTTTTCTCGTACTTTTAAATAGAAAAAGTAGGGTATTGACAGTTTTGTTTGCCTCAAAATATCGCAATAAATATTGTACCGTGAGATGCATATCGTGAAAATATCATATCAAGGGATTTTGACATCGTTACAGATCATCAGAAAATCGCTTAATATGGGCCCTTTGAAAAAATGCAGTTTATATAGTGCACTAAAGATACTCCTTTTTCTTTTTTTTTGCAGTGCATCGTCGCTATTACATTACACGGGGCAATTAGTCAACCCATCTCAGCTTTAAGTGTCACCAAAATACTGATCTGTTGGGAAGGCTCAGATTTCTGGACTTAAAACCCCCAAAATCATAAACCAGGCTCAAGTCAGTGAAGAAATCAGATCCACAATGTCATCTCTTTGTTTTGTATTCACGTCCGTTCTCTCCGTAATGACTAAGGTCGTAACTAAAGTGGACTGATACTAGCCGCGGGGTCGTTGAGCTACTACTAAATGATCTCATCACAATAAAAACTCCCCAGTCAAAACAGATGATAGGTGATTCATCAGTTCACACTCGCATACAAAAGGTGAGGATGTCATTTGAATTATAATGGTGAAACAAAACAAAACATTAATTAAAAAGCGACGCTATATTAACCAAGATATGCAATGTAAAAGAGGGTGAATGCCAAAATACAATAAAGCTATCTTGATATTTTTTGTATTCAGTATTCAGATAATGTGTCAATCAAACAGAAATGCGTTGCAACATGTCTTTAAATGTCCTATATTATGCAAAATTGACTCTTGATGAGCTTTAAGTCGTGTTATAATGTTGTTTCTTTATCATAAACAGACCTGGAGTTGTGTTTTGTTTCATTCACACGTTTGAGGAACTCTTTATTATTACTTCATCTGTCATTTAGTGGTAGTTTTCAAGCTACTTTTTATCTTTAGTTCAACAAAAATTGGCAACTGAAAGAGGAACTCAGGTTAAATGTGCAGGGTTTTGTGGTTTAAACATGTGAGAATGAAACAAAAACTCAACCCCAGGTCTGTTTGTAATAAGGAAACAACATTATAACATAGATCAAAAAATAGTGTAATATAATATGACCCTTTTAAATACTCTAAAACGTAATACATTAGTTCTGAATCTATGAAAATTTGGGTTCTCTGTTGAGACTTTAATATTGATGTAGTCAGAGTCTGAAGTTGTTTTTTTCGCCTCATCTCATCTCTTCATCTCATCACAGGAAACCACTTTGACTAGACAAGATTGTGGCCCATTCAAACAGTGTAATCTGCAGAGTGATGACAACAGCTTTTCAAAACATCAGACCTCTGAGTTTAGTTATTTGAAGTCCACATAATGATAGCAGTAAGTGACAAACATCCCAGACAAATCTATCGCAAAGTTGTGTATGAAATATTATATCCAACCTTACATAGCTGGTGTTTTTCAGTTTAAATGTGCACTATGTAACTTTTCCGATATGATTGTGTCCATGGAGATATGCTACTTTTCCTGAGATGTACCACAGTAAGGCATTAAAGTTGCGCATTATTTAAAAACAATACCTTGAAAAATCTGCGTTCTCCTCTAAATGGGCCCACGTATCTACAAATCTGATTTGTACATTGGCAAATTGGTGCTTGTCTTCATGGAAATCGATTTAAAATAAGTCATACTGTGAAAAAATCCAGGCAAAGCAACATCTCCATGGTGACGGACCCTCCACCCGGAAAGTTACACAATGACCCTTAACTGTATGACTGTCACTCTTCAAATATACTATTACTAATCAAAACAAACGTATCAACACATCTTCACTTTCCACACCAGCAAAACTTTAACTTTATGACCTTTTTTATTTTTGTTTCAGTTCAGTCAATCTACCACACTAACCAAACACAATATTTTCATCTGACATCAGCTAATCCAATCCTAAGAAATCATTTTTTTGTCTAACAATTTAAAATAATCCTGACTATTTCAATAACTGTAATAGTATTTTTATCATTATTAATCTGTATACTTCTAAAACACATGTCAAACAACCAGTTAAAACCAAGAAAATGACAATATTAAAGCAAAATGTGAAAAAGGAATAAGCAGTTTCTGATTTTACTTGTAAATACACTCAAGTATTTCAAAGCCTTCAGTCACCACATCTGAAAATCTCTTTAGGAAAATCTCAACGAACAACAAATCGCTGACAAATCAACTCCTAAAAGAGTTGTTAGTAAGTAAATTCACACATTTAGAGTTGGAAATAAATGAAAGCCAACAGTCAAAGAAATATAATACCAGCATTAGATTAAAAAGTAAGCATCTACGGTAAGCGTCTTTCAGAAAAACATTTGTTACTACTCTATGAAATATTTTTAATGAATACACAAATCCTCAAATTTGCCACCCATTGCTAGAGTTTTTTTTTTTTTTCTTAACTACAAAATTCCATACATCTTACTTCATATATTTTATATTTTTTGTATGTATCAAATGTAGAAAGTAGTAAATATATATACATTTAAAAAAAACATTGAATGAGAAGCTGAGTCCAAACTTTTGCAAGTTCGTGAATACACATCATAGTGAAATGTCTAGTTTCTAAATGACTATATATATATATATATATATATATTTTTTTTTTTTTTTTATCTAATCTTCATAGTGTATGTTTAAACAGCACCAGTTAAAAGTCTGGACAGTTTTTTTTTATTTTGAAGATTTGAATATAAGTAAGAAGTAATAAACTTTTTTTTCTTTGCGACACAATTCCTTACATCTTATTTCGTATATTTGACGTCTTCTGTAGGTAGATATAAAAGATAGATAGATAGATAAATAGATAGATAGAGCTGTTTAAACATACACTACTAACTAACTACAAACTAATATAATAATAATTTAGTAGTTATAGTTATAAAGTTATGGAAAAAAGAGATGGTGAGTCCAAACTTTTGAGTCAAATCTCTAGTCTCTAAATGACATAAAAGCAAAATGCATGAACGAAATAAAAAATAAAAAGTCCATTCTTACCTGATGCGGAGGTTTAGGATAGAGCGGCTCCTTCACAAACTTGGCCCCCGGCACCTGGACGCCGATCCTCTCCGTGGCTCTGTTCATGTTGGAAATGCTGCTGTTGGAGATCTGACAGCTGAACCTCTGAGCCTGAGTGTGAGGGCCGAAGTGAGAGAGGCTGTAGCTGCAGCTCTGCGATGGGGCGCTCTGGCGGTGGGTGGGAGGCGGCGGGGGAGGGGGCGGGGCCCAGCGGGTGCCGTTGTGGTTGAGGTGGGTGCCGGGGCCCGTGCGGTGCCCTGTGACTCTGGGGTAGAACTGGAGGTGGTGGCTGCCGCGCCGCTGAAACTCCTCCTCTGTCACCACACGGCCGTTTGACGAAGCAGACATTGTGCTCTGGAATGAGGCCCGGACGGAGAGAAAGAGAAAGAGAGAGGGAGGAGGGAGGGAGGGAGGAGGGAGGGGAGGAGAGAGAGAGAGGGAGACATAGAAACGAGAATGACAGAAAGGGAGACAGAGAGAGGGAGGGAGGGGAGGAGATAGAGAGAAAGAGGAGGGAGAGATAGAAAAGAGAATGACAGAAAGGGAGACAGAGAGAGAGGGAGGAGGGAGGAGGCGGGAGGGAGGAGGGAGGGAGGAAGGGAGGAGATAGAGAGAGAGAAAGAGGAGGGAGAGAGAGGGAGAGATAGAAACAAGAATGACAGAAAGGGAGACAGAGAGGGAGGAGGGAGGGAAGGGAGGAAATTGAGAGAGAGAGAAAGAGAGAGGGAGAGAAACAGAGGGAGGAGATAGAGAAAGAGGAAGGAGCGAGAGAAAACAGAATGAGAGAAAGAGAGACAGAGAGGAGGGAGAGAGACAGAGGGAAGAGAGAGGGGTGGGGGGTGAGAGAGAGAGGAGACAGAGAGAGAAGAGGGAGGGAGAGAGAGAGAAAAGAGAATGACAGAGAGGGAAACAGAGAGAGGAAGAGGGAGAGAGGGGGATAGAGAGAGACAAAGAGAAAGAGAGAGAGTAAAAAGCAAGAGGAAGGTAAGAGAGAGGGGGGGAGACAAAGAAAGAGAGAGAAAAGAGAAAGAAAGAGAGAGAGAGAGCCGAAGAGAGAGAAAAGAGAGAAACAGAAAGAGAGGGAGTCAGGTGGTGAAGAGAGAAAAACAGAAAGGGGGAAAGAGAAAGAGAGAGAGGAAGGTAAGAGAGAGGAAAGCGAAGGAGACAAAGCCAGAGAGAGAAAAGAGAATGAAAGAAAAAGAGAGAGAAAGAGAGAGAGAGAGAGAGAGAGAAAGAGGAAGGAAGGGAGGGAGGGAGGGAGGGAAGGAGGGAGGAGAGAGAGACAGGGAGGTAACAAACAAGAGTTAGAGGAGAATAGGTTGTCAGTTTGGGAATTTCAGGCACATTATTTCATGTAAAGGTCAAGTCTTACCTGGGGAAAAGACAATTCTAAAACAGGACAATACATAATAAGCACAAAATGACGGTATTATCAGAAGTACAAAAGTAATCCTGGTATAGTATATCATCATAGTGCTAAAATGTCAAACTTTTGATAAGATACTCCCTACGGATTGAGAAACAACAGTGATACATCTAAAAATGCTAGTAGTCATTTTCAACACTTAAAAGTCTCTTGTGAGCTAAGTCATGTTACAATGTTGTTACCTCCTCATAAATACACCTGGAGTTGTGTTTTGTTTCATTCACACATGTCTGAGTAATCCTAGTTTAGCTCAAAATGCTCTGCTCCACCTTGTGATGTCATGTAGTGGCAGTTTCCAAGTTAACAGCTCTTTTTGTTACCTTTAGTTCAGTAGAGATTGGCAACTCTAAAGCCGAAATCATCCAAATGATTCTAATGAAGGTGCATGGAGTTTAAAAACACAGTGGAGCACTTCCTGTACCGGCGCATTACATCATAAATTTGCTGTAATCTAAACAAAGGCCGGGAATAGCGAAGACTAAACAACAACGTATCCATGACGACATCCGGAACAACAGGATATTACCAGCGAAAAATAAACACGTGGGAGATAAGGGCAGTGTAGGAATTTTATAGTAAATGGAATCAACAGGACCTAATGACGAAGGACGAAGTGAGTCAAAAACCTGGACTACAGATCCTTAAAGAGACCATATTATTCTATTTTCTGATCTATTTTCTAATGTTTCCTCATCACAAACAGACCTGGAGTTGTGCAAAACTTTGGGCGGCAGGATTGTGCAGAATGATCCTTTCAGTGTCTTCAGTGTAGGGATCAGTCTCAAATACAAAGCTGAAAAAACTGAGGCTCAAAAAGTACAAAATAATGAAAAACCTTTAATACCACATAGCAGATAAAGTTAAAATCACGCCAACATGTTTCGGCCCTTCTTCGGCTTCATCTGCGCAAACTGAAATTGTCTGAAACTGAAAATTAGTTTGTACTTTTTGAGACCTGGAGTTGTGTTTTGTTTGGTTCACACACATTTAACACAAAAACCCTGCACATTTAGTTCTTCACTTTGTGATGTCATGTGGTAATACAGGAAGTGCTCCAATGTGTTTTTAAACTCCATTTACCTTCACTAGAATCATTTGGATGATTTCAGCCCTGGAACTGCCAATCTCTACTAAACAAAAGATAAAAGGCAGCTGTTACTGTGCTGTGACATCACAAGGTGGAACAGAGCATTTAGATCTTTGGAGATGCAGACAGACTAATAATAAAGGATTACTCAAGCATGTGTGAATGAAACAAAACAAAACTAAAGGTCTGTTTTTGATGAGTTAACAAGATTATAACATGGCTTAAAGCCCAAATCAGTCAGTTTTGTGTAATATAGGACCTTTAAATGAATCTAAATTAGGAGTTAGAAAGGATTTTAGAAAGGATTCTCTTCTAAATCTTTGCTTGCTGAAAAACACTGGAATACGACAATGTTGTGTTGTATCAGAACAAGTATAAGAGCACATAGACTCATATACACCCATGGACCACTATGGATATAAGACATAAGACCAGATGGAAATAAAAAAGAATGTATTATAATTTAATGCTGGGAAACACATTCCGTTGTTTAAAGAAAAAGTGTTTTTTTTTATTTATCATTGTGGTATCGGAATCGGTATCGAGTACTGAGTCCATTCCTTACTATGGATTCAAAATCAAGCTTGAAATTTCAGTATTGTGACAAAACTACGGCAATGATATAAAAGTTTTCCTCATAAATTTGACTCAATACAGAACATCTTCTAATGGCTTTGCGAATCAATGACAATGATACTAACCATAATCAATAGTGTCAGGAAGTACTGTCTAGACTTCATTCACCTGACCAGGGGCTCGTCGTGTATCGCATAACTTCAACAGAATTACACATCACACTTAAAGGTTGTATGGGGGATTTTTTTTTTTTTTTTTCAAATTGTCATTGAAAGTTTAAAATACCATTACAGAGATGCCGCAGCCTTGTAATTATGATGACCAAAAATAAAAAAGAAAATCTATCAACTGTGGGCGTAGTGAGGCCAGATAAACATCAGCCAATAGATTACAAGGCTATCTCTTTATCTATTGGCTGTTAGGTTGTCAATCAAACTCCCTACGTTTCTAGTGTAACTGACTCGCTGGCGTGCGGGGATTATGTGGTTTATGCAGCGGTTCTTAGAGGCTTTTTTAAACAGTCGCTTTCTCGCAATTCGCACAGAGTTTGTTGCGATGGCAGACGAAAATCCACAACCAGTTCGCCGCAAAAGAAAGTCAGTTTTTGAAGTCACTGAAAGAAGAAGAGAAGGGGAAAAGAAGCAAAGAGAAACTGAGATGATTCTTGGAGATTTCTTCCAGCGATGGCTCGACTGAAGCAGACGAAGGGTCTAAAAACTGACGCGTCGGTCACTAAAATATTTCTAGACAGGTCACTTCAACAGTAATTCTTAAGGCACACTGGACATAATTGAGCATGATTTTCTAGACTAAGGAGGTGTCACGCATGCACAGCATTTGAAAAAGGACTGTCGTTGTATTTCACTTCCCTTAAAAAATCCTCGATACAACCTTTAAAGGTCCTATATTACGCAACACGGACTGGACTTTTACCTTTAGTTCAGTAGAGATCGGTAATTCCAAGGCTGAAAATATCCAAATGATTCTAGTGAAGGTGCATGGAGTTTAAAAACACGCTTCCTCTATTACTAACATGACATCACAAGGTGGAACAGTGTGTTTTCAGCTTGACAGAAGAACTCTAAGCAGGGTTTGTGAGTTAAATGCGTGTGAAAGAAACAAAACACAACTCCAGGTCTGTTTGTGATGAGGAAACAACATTAGAACACAGATCAGAGGATAGTGTAACATGGGCCCTTTAAGCTGCAACAATACACAACCGCACACGCACACACACACACACACACACACAGAAGGCAGGAGCGGTCACTATGATGTCATCTTGGTCACTGCACAAGAGGTGAGGACGCTCAGTCACATATGAGTAAAATAAAACCTAAAACGGCAACATAAGATCATCTATTTCATCATATTTAAGGCTATAAATACATCAGGTTACCACACACAAGTCAGCTCAAAAAGATCAAATCAAGGGTAAATCCCATAGTTTGTCGATCTTTATTTAGTTCTGTTGTAGTCCTGGTTTAGTCCTGATCTAGTCCTGCTTAAATACTTCTTAAATTCTGGTTTAGTCCCGGTTTAGGTTACCAGATATAATTCATCTCAATAAGATCATTATAAAGAGTACATCCACACTTTTTCTATCTTGATTTTGTCTTGTTCTAGTGCCAATTTAGTCCCGGTTAAGTTTTGATCTAGTCCTGGTTTAAGTCCTGGTTTAGTCCTGGTTTAGTCCTGGTTTAGTCCCAGTTTAGTCCCAGTTTAGGTTACCACACAAGTCATCTCAATAAGATCATCATAAAGGATACATCCACATTTTGTCTATGTTGATTTAGTTCTGTTGTAGTCCTGGTTTAGTCCTGATCTAGTCCTACTTAAATCCTGGTTTAGTAATGATTTAGTTCTGGTTTGGTCCTGGTTTTGTCCTCGTTAAATCCTGGTTTACTAATCTAGTCCCAATTTTGGTTACCACACAAGTCATCTCAAAATTATCATTGTAAAGAGTACATCCACACTTTGTTTTGATTTTGTCTTGTTTTAGTGCGAGCATAATCTTGGTTAAGTTCTGATCTAGTCCTGGTTAAATCCTGGTTTAGTCCTGGTGCAGTCCTGGTGTAGTCCTGGTTTGGTCCCAGATTAGGTTACTCAATAAGATAATTTTAAAGGATACATCCACACTTTTTCTATCTTGTTTTAGTCCTGGTTTAGTTCTTGTTTAGTCCTTCTTAAATCCTGGTCTAATTTTGGTAAAAATTCTGTTCTTAGTCCTGATCTAGTCCCAGTTTAGGTTACCACACACAATTCATCTCAGTATGATAATTATAAAGGGTACATCAACATTTTGTCTATCTAAAATTAGTCTTGTCTTAGTGCCAGTTTAGTCCTGGATAAGTTCTGATCTAGTCCTGGTCTAGTCCTAGTCTAGTCCTGGTCTAGGCTTGGCCTAGTCCTGGTCTAGTCCTGTTTGGTTCCAGTTTAGGTTACCACACACAATTCATCTCAGTAAGATCATTATAATGGACACATCCACACTTTCTGTATCTTGATTTAGTTCTGTTGAAGTCCTGGTTTAGTTCTGATCTAGTCCTGTTTAAATCCTGGCTCTAGTACTGGTTAAATACTGGTTTAGTCCTGGTTTAGTCCCAGTTTAGGTCACCACACACAAAAAATCTCAATAAGATCACTATAAAGGGTATGTCCACACTTTGTCTATCTTGTCTCATTTAGTCCTGATCTAGTCTTTGTTAATTCCTGATTTAGTTATGGCCTAGTCCTGGTCTAGTCCTGGTCTAGTCCTGGTCTAGTACTGGTCTAGTCCTGGTCCTGGCTTAGTCCTGGTTTAGTCCCAGTTTAGGTTACCACAAACAGTTCACCTCAATAAACTCATTATAACAGGTACTTCCACATTTTGTCTATCTTGTCTTGTCTAGTCTTGATCTAGTCCTGGTTAAATCCCGGTTAAGTCCTGATCTAGTCCTGGTCTAGTCCTGGTTTAGTCCCAGTTTAGGTTTCCACACACAATTCACCTCAGTAAGATCATTATAAAGGACACATGCACACTTTGTCTATCTTGTCTTGTTTAGTCCTGGTGTAGTCCTAGTGAAGTCCTGGTTTATGTCCTGGTTAAATCCTGATCTAGTCCTGGCTTAGTCCTGCTGGTCTAGTCCTGGTTTAATCCCAGTTCAGTCCCAGTTTGAACATGACCTGTCTGCAAGTATAGACGCACCCAAAGAAACAGAGACACCCGTGCATTTCACCAAGAAACCTACTTGCAAAAATTAGGCTGTTTTAGAGCAAAACTAGAGCATCTTGAATAATAAATAAAACATTAGACTTGTGCAAATCCACACAGCAATACCAAGATTTAAAATGCATGAATAAAAAACATACCTACGCCACCAAAATCTGCATCTCATTTCATTTCTTACAAAACGTCGCGTAATGCACGTATTGTTTTTTGGGGTTTTTTTACGTCTCAACATACATGAGCAATTAGCAGCATCTCACAGTCACACGACGTTGTCCCGTGCACAACTGTCTCCCCTCCTCTCACTCCAACACCATCCAATCCATCACCGCGCGCCCTGCACTGTTTAAAGCCACAACGCGGAATTTTTCTTACCTTCTAACGGTGGATGCGCGCTCCTCTGCTTCACTCGCCTCCTCCTCGGTGTGAGATCTGGGAGGTTTGCGGAGCCAGACTAGCGGAATGAGGAGAGGAGACTGCGGAGTGGAGTTGCAGCCTGCCCCTGTACGTCTGTCTCTGCTCACTTGTTTTGGGGGGGAGATGAGATAAAAGCGCGACTCATAGCGGTGGTGAAGGGGTACTGCAAGAGTAAGGGGCATGTGAGTCAATACACTGCAAAAAACGCACTGCATCTAAGTGGGTTTATTTGAATTTACTTTTTTTTTAGTTGTTTATTCTGTTCTTTTTGCAGCTCTACAAAACAAAAACAAAAGAAAACAAAAACTACAACCTCATAGATCAAAACCAAAAGGGTTTAGACTGAAGTAAAAGTACTTATAACGCCTAACCTTATTAACAGGGTTCCAACTCTCTTTCATTCTCTCAAAACTTTTCCATTACTTTTTTTTTTTTTACTTTTTTCATGATAGGGATGTAGCAATAATCGAAATATCATGACATCGTATTGTCATAAGTCTCACAATAATACCGTGTGCTGTCACAGTATATTGAATCTCAAGTGTCTCAGCTTAAATTAATTTTTTCGTTTTGGTGCAGCAACAGCTAAAACAGTAAAAACTACATAGACCATGATCTTTTGCTCTGTTTTAGTCCAATCTACATGCTGAAATAACTGTTATAAGCACTTTTTTCTTGATTATTTGGGTTATGATGAGAGAAATGCAGCCTACCGACAATTTTGTATGTATATATTTTTTGCCTCCAGAAAATATCGCAATAAATACCGTACCGCTAGAAGCATATTGTAAGAATATCATATCAAGTGATTTGGATAGTGTTACATCTCTATTCCATGACTTTACAGCACCTACATGTGTAGAATTGATCAGACTGTTAGAGCTAAATATGAAACATTAACTCTTTCCACTCACTTTATGGTTTGGGATTATAGTTTTTAACATTCAAAATCCTGTCAGTGCATTTATTGTCGTCTTTTTTAAACAAAAAACAATGTTTGTTTGTTTTTTCTTCTAATTTAGTTTTAATACTACATTCTTCAATATCAAAAATGTATTTTCTATGGTGTAACACTTTGTCAAATATGCCTCCAAATCTGAGGCTATGTTCTCGACCGTAAAAAGGTGTCTTGTTCGCTCCAGGTGGGTGGAGAGTCCCTGCTTCAAGTGGAGGAGTTCAAGTATCTTGGGGTCTTGTTCACGAGTGAGAGGAGGATGAAGCGTCAGATTGACAGGTGGACCCGTGCAGTCTGCAGTGATGCGGTCGCTGTATTGAACCCTTGTGGTGAAGAGGAGCTGAGCTCTTGATTTACCATCAGTCTATGTTCCTCCCCTCACCTATGGTCATGAGATTTGGGTAATGACCGAAAGGACGAGATAGCGGCTGAAATGAGTTTCCTCTGGAGGGTGACTGGGCGCTACCTTAGAGCCGCGGCTCCTCCATGTCAAGAGGAGCCAGCTGAGGTGCTCTGGCATCTGTTCTGATGCCTGCTGGTTGCCTTTCTTGGAAGGTGTTCTGAGCATGTCCTTCCAGGAGGAGGCCCTAGAGAAGACCCAGGACATGCTAGAGGGACTATGTCTCTGGACTGGCCTGGGAACACCTCAGGGAGGAAGTCCCTGCTTAGAATGATGTTCACGCGACCTGGCCCCGGATAAGAGGAACAACATGGATGGATGGGTATAAACATAAATTTTTATGCATTTATGCAGTCAATGTCATATGTCTGAGTAAAGTAACTGAACCAACACCTAAAAAAAGATTTAATAAATAAAAATCTTGTGTATTTGGCATTGGCTCAATTAGCCTACGGGTGTTTTTTGTTTGTTTGTTTTTTATTGCTAAAAGAATGTCTTGATAAACGTGTTCTTGCTGAGAGCACAGAGCATCTCCAGAGATCTGACCTGTAACTTAGTCTAATCTTATCACCTGTTTGTCTCCATGGAAACACAGTATATAAGCTTACTGCTATACTGTGGAACATATCAGGCATAGTAATAACACCTTTTTAAAGGTTGCCAACTCTCTGCCTAAAAGTTCCACAGTGCACTTTAAACGACTGCTTCACGTGTATTTTATTATGTAGCAGATCTACATAAACTCACTTGTATTTATTCATGTATTACATCGTTCTTTGTCATCTTCTTGTTTGTTTCAGTACTTAAATATGGGGTAAAGGTGTTTATATGTATCTGTAAAAATAATTTATTAATAACTTGAAAACACTGGCACATTCTAGACCCAGTAAGAAAATCTAAAACAGTGCTACAAGATGATTATTATGTCATCTGAAGTGTCGTCTTGTTGTTTTTACAGTGTAAGCCTATGGCCACATGTGAGAGGATTAGCATGTGTGTCCAGCCATGTAGATGCAACAAAACACTGCATTATCACATATTAGAGTCTGGTGGAAAAAAACATTTGACCTTGAGTGCAAAGAGAGAGTTTTTTTAGGGATTCTTACTCAGTATTTGTCAGAGTAATCATTTTTTAAAGGGTTTATATGACACTATTTTCTGATCTCTGTTCTAATGTAGTTTCGTCATCACAAACAGACCTGGAGTTGTGTTTTGCTTCATTCACACATGTTTAACACACAAACCTGCACATTTAGACTCTTCTCTTGAACTGAAAACACTCTATTCCACCTTGTGATGTCATGCAGTAACACAGGAAGTGCTCCACCTTGTTTTTAAACTCCATATACCTTCACTACAATCATTTGGATTGTTTCAGTCCTGGAATTGCCGATCTCTACTGGAATAAACGTAACAAAAAGAAAAAGCTGTTGACTTGAAAACAACTGCTTCATGATGTCACAAGGTGGAACAGAGCATTTTGAGCTTTGGAGATGTAAAAAGATGAATAATAAAGGATTACTCAAACGTGTGTGAATGAAACAAAAAAGAACTTCATTTATGTTTTTGATATAACAACAATTTAACATGATTCACAATAATCAATTTTGTGTAATTTAGAACCTTTAAATTTAAATTGCATTCAAGAACCCTACAGTTTCTCCGTCTCATCAGTGCATCTCAGAGTGTATCGCTCTTGTAGTTTTGCCAGCAGCAGCTCTGAAGGACGACTCAATTGAAATGGACACATATTCCCACAGGGGCAATAAAGCCAAACTGAACCTTAACCTCGTGACCGGCAGACTGCCAAATCATGCAGATGAGTGAACTTGTAAAACGGAGAGAGGTGACAAGATATTACGAGGTCACCATTACCTGCAATAAATATCCGTGTTAACAGATGCTGTGTTTATTGTTCTGATGTTTAAAGAGTTTGTTTAAAAATGGTAAATGGTCCCAGTTTTATTTAACGCTTTTCCATTTTCAGTTCACTCAAAGCGCTTTACAACAAGGAACCACTCACCCATTCACACACACATTCACACACCAGAGTACACAGACACCGGGGGCAGGGAGGGGTAAGAGTCTTGCCCAAGGACACGACAACATCATTTATCCTGTAGGTTGGTGGCAGGATTCCAGTTGCTGTGAGTCAGTGAACGGAGACTTTACCAACCGAGCTACTGTCGCTCCACTATTATAACTGTTCTGAACGCAGGGGTCCGCCACCTGCCCGTCTCCAGAAAAGTAAACATCTATTTCGTATTTATGCATCTGTATCTGTAACTTGGCCTGGTCACGTCATCTGGTTGAATACTGTTGTTGTGTCCTTGGGCAAGACACTTAACCCACCGTGCCCCCAGTGTCCGTGTGAACGTGTGTGTGAGTGGTTCCTTGATGGAAAGAGCGTTGCGTGCCTTGAAGGTGGAAAAGTATGGAGTAAGAAAGCTGTCAGAAATATTTGTGTGCATAGGATAGAAATCGGTGCATATTTGTCTGTAGTTGAGCGTAAAATAAATATTCGTAAACTCTCGAATGAGTCCAGTTGTAAATAAAATGTGTAGTGTTTATTTTATGCATCAGAATATGAATTGAAAAGTTACGACATCAAGAATTACAATTACAAAATGAAAATGTATGATTACACTTTCTTCAGTACAAATACAAATCACAGACGCAACTCGACTGTCAAAAATACAACATCACTTCACAGGCTTTATTTATTAAACAGAAGAAATATTGATCAAGATGCTGGACTTTTGTGCCACATACAGACTGAACCAGGACTGAACCAGGACTAAACCAGGACTGAACCAGGACTGAACCAGGACTGAACCAGGACTAAACCAGGACTGAACCAGGACTAAACCAGCACTGAACCAGGACTGAGCCAGGACTAAACCAGGACTAAACCAGGACTGAACCAGGACTGAACCAGGACTAAACCAGGACTGAACCAGGACTAAACCAGCACTGAACCAGGACTGAACCAGGACTAAACCAGCACTGAACCAGGACTGAGCCAGGACTAAACCAGAACTAAACCAGGACTAAACCCGGACTGAACCAGGACTAACTACAGCCAAATATGCACAGAGTTCCCAAATATGCATGGATCCTATACTCACGAATATTTCTGAAAGCTTTCTCACTCCATAAAAATGTTCTGTATCAAAATGTGTGACCATTTACCATCCCCAGAAAAGTTACACAGTGCAGCTTTTAGCACTTTTAGTATGCTTTGGCTATTGTAAATATACTATGTTACATGCAGTTTTTATGATTCATTCAAATGTACATGAATCTTGGAACAGTTAGTGAGATTATCCAGAAGTACCTCACACAAGGTTTCGATTAAACCTGGAGCAGAGATTTGCCATTACCGCATCACTGCAGTGCCAGTCTGTGCATGTATACTGACAGTGATGACAGCTCTAGAAATATGTCAACTGTCGCCCATTACAATGTATTCCATTTAGTTTAGTTATTTGTCACGCTGTTCACAAGATAAATTAATTAATCCTGGAATCTGTTTTATTTATTGTAATGGCTGCGTCCTGAAAACACTGACAACTCCCAGAAGAGGAAAGCCATTATAGTTGGTATGAAGTAATATAATGACTCTTTCTTCATACAGGATTCAAATGGAATGTGAACTATGCAGGCGGTGCTTTCTTCTCTTCTCTTAACTGCTGGGAATTCACCTGTCGGTTTGGCACCTGCCGGAGCATGTGTGCTG